CCGCTAAATTAAGCTTCCAGGTGTTTCTCAGTATAAAAGATCAGAAGAAAGAGTGAAGAGGCACCTCAAGGCTAAGTGTTTCCAGTGGGTCCTGTCACGATGTGGAGCCTTCAGAACTGCTGGATGCTGATGCCAGTTCTATCTGTTGTGCTGCATTAACACATAAAATGTCTACTCTTGCAAGCAAGAACAGGATGATTTGAGCTTTGTTTTCTTTTTGCTTGGTCTATATGACGCACCTGATAGAACTCTCAAAACAAATGTGTATAATTATAATAAACACAAAATATGGCATATGGAAAACAAAAGTAATTTTCAACTGTCACTGGAAAGGCATCAGATATATTACAAGCAAATCAGCCAGGATACAAGGCAAGAGGAACGCCGTAATAGACACACACTCTTCTTTGAGTCACCACACACTATACTTCAGGATAATGGAACAGTTAATAATAATAGTAGTAAAGTTGGAAGAGACCTTGGAGGTCATCTAGTCCAACCCCCTGCTCAGTCAGGAAACCCTATACCACAGGTCGGCAACCTGCGGCTCCGGAGCCGCATGCGGCTCTTTGAGCCTTCCCTTGTGGCTCCCAGCCTCCTCTGCCTTTGCAGAGAGAGACAGAGACAGAGAGAGAGGCAATTGCGCTTCCCTGCTTCTCTCTCTCTGTGTGTGTGTGTGTGTGTGTGTGTGTGTGTGTAAAAGAGAGTGCACTCACATTGTTCTCCGAGGAGCTGAAAAGCTTTCTGGGCGGAGCTCCTCCCTTTGCTGCGTCTCTGCAGGAAGCAGGAAGGGCAGGAGAGCTAGCTAGCCCAGCTAGGCTGACTCATGAATTCTGGGAGTTGAAGTCCATGAGTCATAAAAGACACGAGGTTGCCTACCCCTGAGATTGTTGGAGAACAACTTGAAGCTTGCCAGGTGAGCAGCAGATGGGGGGGGGAGAAAGAGAGAGAGAAAGAGAGAGAGAGAGAGGGAGGGGGAAAGAGAGAGAGGAAAGAGAGAGAAAGAAAGAGAGTGGGGGAAGAGGAGTGGCAGACCAAGGGCAGAGAGGGAGGGAGGGAGACACAGAGAGAGAGACCCTTTTGACATCTAAAATGAAGATAACACTGCATATATCCTTTTTTTACCTGTGTGTATGTAATTTTATTCTCTTAAAGCATTCTCTCGGTGATCATTGTTTTAATAGTATGGATATTCCCAAGAGTCATATTTTTACTTTTATTTTTAACGTGTGTGTGTATGTGTGTGTGTGTGTATACACACACACACATACACAAACTCTCTCTCTCTCTCTCTCTCTCTCTCACACACACACACACCTATAATAAAGATAAAAAAGGATATATGCAGTGTTATCTTCATTTTAGATATCAAAAGGGTTTTGCGGCTCCCGGTGTTTTGTTTTTGGTGGGAAATGGGTTCAAGTGGCTCTTCGAGTGTTTTGGGTTGCCTACCCCTGCCCTATACCATGTCAGACAAATGGCTGTCCAGTCTCTTCTTAAACACTTCCAGCGTGGAGCATTCACCGCTTCTGGAGGCAGGTTGTTCCACTGGTTAACTGTTCTAACTGTCAGGAAGTTTCTCCTTAATTGCTTCTCTCCTTGATTAGTTTCCACCCGTTGCTTCTTGTCCTGCCTTCAGGCACTTTGGAAAATAGCTTGACTCCCTCTTCTTTGTGGCAGCCAGTCTTCACAGCCAGTCTTAAGAAGCAGGATCGTGTAGAGCATAGCTGCTCTTTAGCTACTTTGCTCCCAAGTTGTATAAGATTTTATAAATTAGAAAACTAAGAGTTCATAAAGATGCCACTCTATTCTGCACTAACTGTCACTTCAAAACATTTTCAAAGGAAGTTCCAGATAAAAGAGATTCCAGCAAGTTGGGACACAATACACATGGACAAAAGCTGGCTGGGTTTGAAAGAAAAAAACCCTACAGCTATTGCCCTGGTCCAGTAAGCAGATTGGGTGAGGTCTGAAAACTCAAAAGGCTGAACCATGACTTGGGCAGTGCAATGGGTGGATTGGGCTGAGAGAGAGCAACTGGCCCAGTCACCTAACTGTCTTTCATGGCTGAAGCAGCTTTGCAACTCAGTTTCCCTATTTGAACATTAATGACTTTTTGTTCGTTTTCATAGATTGGTATTAGAACTTGATGAATACAGTTATTGCCATAGACCTGACTTCAATAAATAAGATTGGAAAAAGGAGTGTAGCACTGAACAGTAATGAATATAATCTCCCAGGCTGAGATTGAATTTTACACAATCAGGAACTTCTTAACCAAAATCCTAGAACCCAGAAAACTCACTTGGTAAGAAATCATGGAGGGAATATCTAATGGCAGATTCCACTTCTACCTCCACTGTTTGTGGCATGATCCAGAGCAAGACTAAACATGAGAGAAACAAAAGTTTTTATTAAAGCTAACTCAATAGGTTTTTAATCTGAATCATTGCAGAATGACTCTGAAGGAATATGTCCCAGTGAAGGCAGCTACAGCTCTAAAGGAATCAATGCAAATTAGCTGCCTGCCCACTCCACAGTGAGTCTAGATCCCCAAACCCATCCCCAAAACAGAAGTGTATCTAAGAAGTCTATAAGTCTATAACTGGACATGTAAACCATACTTACAGTTTGAAGTCCTTCACATCTTGATCCACAAATAAAAAGCCTGACGTAAATGGCTCAGGGCTTCCCCATATGTGGTTGGCCACATACATTAGGTATTTAGAGTTTGACATTATGGCTGCTTTGGGGGAAGGAATGCTGCTTATTTTCAAAATGATACCTAGGGTATCTTAATCAGGCATAGAACAAAAAAAATCAGGTCATGGAATGTGGAAGTCATTAAGGGACCCATCATCAGATACAGTGGTGCCCATGGGCCTGGTAGGTGTAGCTCTTGACATCTCTCTTAAATAATCCAGCAGTAGTTATTCCAGGGAAGATGAATTCAGAAAACTACTTTCCTAGAAAAATTATACTCCTCCCCTTCATTTTCTCCTAATCAATTACCTCGTAGGAGGGCTGGCCATAGAACAAGGTCAACCCCAAATTTGGGAGTGTTAGGCTGGACTCAAAACATACAGGAATAGCTAAGAACCATGCAAACATTTGTGCACAATAACCTTCCTTTATCTCTGATCATTGTCATTTGCAATCAGAATACAGAAGAATGGCATGGTGTTGCAGAGAGAAATTCAGAAACAAAGTTTAATTTCTTCTCCTTTAACAAGAATGATTTTAGGATTTTGCCTACCAGTGCACCCAAAAGGATAACAGGCTTCCTTCCTGCCACAACTGAGCTGAAAGCGTGGCTATCATCTATTTTCTCTGTGTCACAGGTAGCAAGTCAGAATGAGACTTTAGTCATGAAGGCCAAACACCTCTTTCCTCTCCTATTGTGTTCCTATTTCCTCTTTCACAGTGGAATGAATAGTAATTACCTCTTTCCAAGGTATTTTGCTGTTCTGCTAAAATGTTTAAATTTCAGTTGATTGCCTGGATATTTTACATTAAAGCTCAAAATATGTTACAAGTAATATTTCAGATTTGGCCTCTGTCTTGCTGTTACTTAACTTACATACATTCTTTACCATGTATAAAGCCAAATCATAGCTAGGAGGGTTGAACGTGTTTGAAATGGTAATATTGTTTTTAATGAAGTCACTTTAATTGCAGCTATTCTGTAAAAAAAATTGGTAATAAAACTGCAGCCATTCATGAAGTTCTACACTGATTTTTTTCCAAAAGAGGATCATAATCAAATCTAAGTAATCAACTCACCTCATTTGGAACTCAGATATATGCAGTAGGGATTTGTTGAGTTAGCACTGGATTCTTAATTTGAATGTTTGTTTGAAAAATATTACTCCTTAAGTATGGGAATTATGCCAAGAGTGCTGAGACAGATCATGGCACCCTGCAATTTAAATGGTACGTGGTTGAGAGCATTATTGTCTATAAACAGTTCTACCCCAAAATCTAAATGTACACTCAACTCCTATTCAGACCACTAATGATAGCATTAAAAGCAGGTAAGAGAGTTCTTCTACATTCCCACCCTAAATAAGTTGGGTCATATTGTCTCTCTGGAGCAGTTCAGATCACACAAAGCAATTTTATTGCTGATCCTGACTATGATCAATCTGAATCTATTACATTTTCCAAGAATTCTCATGTCACAATAAAGTCTTATATTTCCTTACCTTAAGAACTTTTTTATAGATATGAAACACTATTTCAGTAGGATAATTCAGTCCCCAGAAACACAGTATTAAGATGCTAAGAATATTTGAATGCAATACCTGCTGGGATACAAGGAAACAAGCAATTTGTTTTGAATGTGGGATTTGTAGTATTAATTTCACATTGAAATTAAAGTTATAATGATCTTTAAATATGATAAAATGAATCATGCTAACCTATAACATGTCCTTAAGTAAATTTTGTATATCATACACATTAGCAGACTTTTTTTTAAGGGGCTGTGTCAATTAGGTAGCATAACTGGTATCTTTTATATAAGGTAAAAAGAGAGACTGCGTTTAGCTTAACCTGTCTGAAGACTGGATTTGTATGGCAAGTATTAGTATCGTTTAGCTTAATACAAAAAGACGTGCATCTTTGTTTTTTTATAGAAAAAATACTCTCCTTTTCAACATATCGAGTTTCTTTCACATAGAAGTGTCAAACCAAGAATTATTTTAAGATTAGAACAGTGATTTTCAATTAGAAATCAAATCTATAAACAATTTTCTTTTATTGGATACTGCAAAAACAATATGTCAGGTATGTTCAAATAAACTCATCCTGTTTACTCTCACTTAAGATATTTTATCACGCTCCAACTCCTAATGCTGATGCAACAAAGGTACTTCATTAGATCTCCAAGGTTTCCAAATTAAATCTGAGAGCATGTCTGGGGATACTAAGAATCCATTCTATATTCTGTACAATGGATATAAGATTCATATTTTATCAAGCAACACAAAAATCAGCTCTTATCAAAATATAAAATATTTATTATATGAAACTACAATTAGAGAATATACAATATTTAGAAAAAGGCACTCCAGTATCTCAAAAACCTAATTATTTAAAAGGCAATACATTCTTTACAACACTTAATGATAACCATTTCCTAAAAACAGCAGTTTATTCTTTGTACATTGAGCAGCCACTGCAAAAGATTTGATCTCCAACATCCTCTGATCTAAAAAAAAAAAGATAAGTTAGTTTAATGTCTCTTTTGATTAGTAAGTTCTAAGAGAACACAACTTCTGTTACAGCTCTTCCACATGCAACAATGCTTTGTGAGAAAATTAAGCTTTGAAACATAAGAACTGCCTTGCTGAATTCAAATAAGAACCAATTAGACAATCCTGTCATAAAAGATTGATTTAGCTATACTGTAGTAATTAATTCAGCCGAATCTATCTCCAATGTTACTGAATTCAAGTAATAAATTGTAGTGTGTAAAATATTCCCTTCTATCAAGAATCAAAAATGAATTTGATTTATGAGTATCAGTTCTTAAAATTGTTAGTGCAAAACTTTCTGCAGCCTCATTTTATCTCACATCATCTTCATTAAGTTTTGCATCTAGCTTTTGTCATATTACAACTATAAACCCCTCCAGAATTTATCAGTTCAATACAACCAAAGGAAATTAAGGCATATCTGTATAGGCACTTACTCTATAACTGAACAAAATGAACAGATAATGGTGCTGCAACAGCTGCAGAGTTTGCTGCAGTTCTGGCATATGTATTGATCACACTGCGTGCAAACATCTTTGATGTCAACTGTTCTTATACAGGAGGAACAGGCCTTTGACACTCCTACAGGCAAAACTGTGTATAAACAAACAGATTAGTAAATTACATTTCAGTACTGTTTGCCACAAACATCTCCTTTATACTATAATCAAATCGATTTATTTGAACACTCTAGTGCAAAATCATTTATATTGATCAAAATAGATTTATCCAATAGATAAGGTATCACTTAAAGGAGTTGAAGTTACCAGGAAATGAGCCTGGGACTTTCTATATGCAAATCAGGTGGTACTACTTTTCATACATCCCTACACCAGATAAGATCATTTAAATACAATTTCAGGGCTTTGTTTTGCATTTATCCAATGAATACAACATTGCATTTAACTTTTACACAATATAGTCAAACATCTATTTATAACAATATAATATTCTATAAACATACAAAACATCATACATTGGGAACAGGTCTTGCTATTATTTGCTGTCTTCACTTTTTAAAAGGAAAACTAACTACCGGTAAATACATCCACAAACACAGGAGAGTATTCTTTCACACACACTTCATCAGAAACGAACCAATTAAAACCACATTGGCAATAATCTAGAATTTGTCATTATTCAAACAGATACAGCTATCATGAGTATAAGGAAACATTCAGTTTAGCATAACTTGATATTTCTTCTCATAGTACAAATAAAGTTGCAATGTTCTTGGAGTATTCTTTGAAACTACAGCAAATTAGTGAGAGAAATAAATAAACTGTGCATGACAACTGAGAAAAATTGACAGAGACTGGCTGTATCTTTACAATTTCTGTACCTCTATCATTTCTGCACTGTCTAAATAAAATTAGTTCTGACACCTTTTCCAATTCTTATGATTTTATATTCCAAAAATCCATGTCGCAAAAAAGTTGGTGCCGCAGAGCACCTAATGTAATTCTAAACAACTGTAATTATAAACAAATTCCTGTCACAAACTTAGGTCCTGAAATGCAGCTACTACCAAAAAGATCCAATGACAGTAATATGTGATCACAAGTTTAATCATAACTACAACTTCTGAATTCTCTTATCACTGAAAACAAATAACAGCAAACAGCATGTCTAGATATAAATACCTAAAACAGGCTGAAAACCACAAATTATGAAAATTATTAGTACATAAATGCTTGATAGCTAACTAAGCATCCTTACCCATTTCACTTGAACAGGGTTGTCGAAGTTTTCCATCCTGCCCAATTAACATTTGTTTATTACATCTGTGCCAAGAACAAATTTCTGATTTGTCTATACATGATTCTGGATACTGTGTAATTAGATATGTTCCCACTGCACTTGCATTGCAAGCATTGTCCATGTATGTTTGAGCACCTTTGAAGAGCAGTTGTTTGGTTTTCTCTATAATAAGAGAACAAGAACAAAGATGAGAATGTTATTAATGATATTCTAATTGTACTGTCCAGAGTGACACTATAGTGTATTATTCAATTTCTGTCTACTGTAATGTATAACCTCTTAACTACAAAATCTTGTAACAACAAATATGATTTAAGTTACTTTTTTCAGCCTTCTGGTGGTTGGCTGGACTTTTGCTAACCAAGAAAGAAATTGTGAGCAACTTCCAATTCTCTTTTCTTGCAAAGAATGTCCAGAGGTTGAGAAATCATGAACATGACTTACCTAAAACCAAACCATATTGGTTCACTCACTGTCTTCAGAATTATATATGTTGATTAAATTATAAATACCTCAGTTCAAGCTGGTTTTGATATATTATTAGCTTATCACAGTATCATAGTGACAGTTTTTTAATAGTGAACATATATATGCAATATTACACTCGTTAGATGTTGAATAGGCGAAATGGTTGGAGATTCAACTGTTTTAGTACTTTAAGCCAGCAAGAACATAAAATAGCCTTGAAGACGAAGCACGAAAACCTGGGGACAACTGAGTGCACGTGACCTGGGGGGGACTCAAGTTCTGAAACCAAGGGTGTTTAGGGAAAGCAAGGAAATCAAACGACTGGGTTCTTTTGACAGATTAAAAATGACCCCCGTCTTTTTAAGCAAATGGCTTGGGCCTCCACGCTTCGAACGTGACGCAGAGCACCTCTGTGCATACACTGAGTGCTTTTCTTGCCACGCACCAGCCAAGGTAGAGCGGCCGGTGATTCGGTCCCGTTGTGTTATTGTGACAGGAAAGAGGGGGAGAAGGGAGTTTCACTTTCTTCTTCCAAACAGCTGCCTTTCCGGAGGCCGAACAGGAGAAAGGCGCACTCATGGCGGAAAGGCCCCGCGGAGACCGAGGGGAAACGCGCCCTCAACAGCGGAAGGAAACTCCGATTCTCGCGAGGTCAAAGCCTCACTGAGCGATTTCTCTGCCCCTCCCCCCTCCCCGTCCCCCGCGTCGCCTCACCGAAGATCTCGCGCCGGTACCTCTCGCCCATGACGCCCTGGCTCAGCTCCTTCAGCCGCACGCGCGTCTTCAGCTGCATCGGGGACGAGTCTGCGAACGGGCAGGAGCGCTTCGGCATCTCTTTCCCCACCACGCTGATCGGCGCAACGAGCAGCTCAGGCACCCGCAGCTCCGGCGGCTTAGCGGGACAATTAACGCCAAACCTAGCCGTCCCTTTCTGCGCGGGAAAAGAGCTCGTAAACAAGACTCCCGGAGGAAGCCGCTGCACGGCCCGCCTGCTTGGTCATCCGCATTACGTCATCGGACCCTTGACCAATCAGGAGGCGAGTTGAGGACATGGGGGAGAAGAGGACCCTGTGTTTCCGCTTGTGGACATTCGCATTGGCGAGGAGAGACGTGACGGTAGCGGGGCGGGGCTGGGGTCGAAAAAGAGCGGCGGCGAGCAGGTTGAAATCGTTCAAGCGATTAGCGTGGGAGCTTTGGAGTAGCCCGCTTTTAAACCAATAGGTTCTATAGGCCCTATTGAGTATTCTTAAATAAACCTCATTTAGGATTCGATGTTGGAGTCAAGACTTCATCAAAAATGACATGGGCATTTCTCTCCCCAATGTGGTTTATATTTAAATAATATTAACCAAAAATTTAATTTACATTAAGAATGTAACTATTATATGTGGAAAAACAAACATGTTTAAGGACTAGGTTTACTCCACTGCAGCCTTCATTCTTGTCACCAAATTCTTCACTGAGGAGTACATTTTTGAAAGCAGTGGGATTTATTCGCTATGAAATGAATGTCATATTGCACGATAACATTTTTTCATGGTGATAAGAGGCTAATGGGCAAAATGCAAAATTTCCAACATATTTATTAGTTATGCATGTTGATTCAGATTTTATCTAAAAGTTATTTAACTCCTATTGGTGGCATGCATACACAACACCATGTGAGAACACAGTAGAATTTACTATAGGATTCTTGGCTACAAGTGATATATGATCCTGAGCTACAAATTTCTCTTTTAGAATTTACTATATTTGATGATCTTGGAAGATTTTGGCCATATCTGTTTTTTTTTTAAATATTGCAGTATTATCATTTACATTTATGGATGCAAATCCCTATAGATTTTCAGCAGTATATAGACAATCTAAGAAATAAAATAATAAACCTAAGAAATATGCAATAAACAAAGAGATGAAAAGCTGGTCCAGACTGATGCAGCATGTGTAGTTATGGATGCACCTCAGTATGCCCATATGTCAAGCTACCGTGAGAGTTGTACTGGTTATTATTGGGCTCCTATGTGCAATTCAAAGTGCTGGTAGTTACCTGCAAAGCCCTATATGACACAGGGCTAGGATATTAGTGGGGCTATTTATCTCTTATTATCTCTGCCTACCTAACAAGATCTGGCATGCTCCAGGTCTTATTAGTGTCATTTAATGGAGTCCAAGAAGGATGCCTTATCTATCACTGCATTTGCTTTGTGAAACAATACCCCCCCCTCCAGATCTGGATGGTTCAGAGCCTGCTGGCTTTTTAAAAGATCTTGTTCTTCTCTTTGGTACTGGATATTGTGTGGGCTATTACTATGCCATTTGTAAGTTACTGTCCTGGTGACATATGTTTCTTTGTATGTATTGTGCTTTGTTGGCTGCCCAGAAAATGAAATAATGAATTAATACATATAACATGAGCATAGTACTCTTGTAAACATAAACTTAACACAAATTCTGCTGGGAGAAAAGTTGAAATTATATAGAATACATGCATACAGAGTACATAAATTGATCATGCATGTTTTTATAACAAATTTCAATAATATTTTGGTTACTAAAGGTAAATTTTAGCTGACATTTATTTCAAACTGAGCCCGGTTTCTGCTGACCTCAGTCCAGATTGGTTTGGTATTACTACCTAATTTAATTTAGAGAGAAAGCAGCAAGCAACCAGCAATAACATATTTGCTTTGATGGTGCTTTCTGTTCATGTTACCCTCTTTGTTTTCCTCATAAAATTATTATATAACTTGCATCTATATAACAAATGTTGCTGCTGAATTTTGTTCACATATAGTCTCTTATACATATGTGTATGTCTTAGTGATGCACTTTAAAAAAGCTAAATATAATTAAGTCAGCTACCCCAAACATTGTATCAAATTTAACTTACTTGGCATACAAAATTGGGTCTTGCATTAGTATCATAGCATCTTGTTACTGGAAGAACAAAGATAATGTAGAAATGTCTGAGTGCCACAAAGAATTTGGCAACTGCAAGGAAAATGCTAATAGAAGGGTGATCTTGATTAAATAGTATATAAAAGTCATACATTAAAGATTAGATTGTAATTTTTGAACTTTCATATGTGTTATAAAAATAAGGGACCTCTTTCTTCAATCATTAGTTTTTATGGACCAGATTCAATATAAAATCTGGTGTTATCAGTTCTGTATTAAAGCCAGAAGTGATTCATGGTGTAGTAAGAATCCAGAAAAAGATATATTTTGGGGAATATTAAAAAGGCAGAATATATTTCCCCAAAGGATCTTAAAGGCAAGGCACAAAAGCAAACCCAGTTTTTCTTAATAGCCCCAAGCAGAAACCCAGCAGAAACCAGCTTTTAGAAATGCAGATGTAATAATCCATTCAGGAAGGTTGGAACCAGGAAGCTAGAAGCTGATGAAATTAGGAAGACAAAGACCCCTAAAATCTACATACCCACCCAAATTTTAAGACAAGGGAATATAATAGGATTAACCCACCAATACCAAAAGGGCACAGTCAGACTCAGGTTAAAGTACATGACACAAGAAATACAAAGCCACAAACAGGAACAGGAAACCTCAAAAGCCCCAAAAGGTATAAAAACCCACCACTCCCAGTTATGTGTGGTCAGCTTTCCCAAAGCCACACTTCTATCTGGCTTTGCTCTTCAATAAACTACAACCTTCTTTCTAATGCAGTCTCCATTTTGTTTATTCCTGGCTTGGACTGGACCCTGATGAAGATTTTTCTTTCAACAATGGGATTCAGAAAAAAAGAGGCAATCTTACTTTCTCATAAGGCTTTATTGAGTAAATAAAAGAACTATAAGATAAATACAGTTCCATTTACAATATATAAAATACTCAAGAGAACAGTTTTAGTGCATTATGATCATCTGGTTTACATTTGCTATATCAAGAATTGTGTGGCGTAGTGCATCATAAAAATGTTAGGCCCAAAACCTGACCGATTCTTGCCTCATGTACAATTAAGACATTTTCAATTTTATCATTCTCTTCCCCACATTGAGTCATAACATATTTTAGATAACAATTGCATTTAAACAGTATACTAAAGTTGTATTAAATTATTAAGCCAAATTGCACATGAAGTTTTAATATCCTAGGAAACAGTCAAAATACAATACATATTGTGCATGAAGAATGAATTATAACAAATAAGTATAACAAATCCTGACTACTAAATATTTAATTTCATTTGTTGCTATTTTATGGGAACAAAGATTTCTGTTAAAATATGCCAAAGTTAATAGATTCTCTGTGAATATTGATTTAAACAAGTGCAAACTAAGAGGCCTAAGGAAGATCCCCTGCATGAATGGGAGCTACCAAAGTGTTCTTGCATAGCTCCCATTCATATAGATTGGGAACTGTGGAAATATTTTCCAATGGATTGTGGCTGCTAAAGAAATTATGCTGCCTCTGTGCAGGACTGTAAGTGCTTATAGCTGGCTTTTCATGCAACAGATAGTCACTTAAGAGAAAATGCACAGCTGGGCAGTGGAAAAATGTCACAGCTGAACAAAAAGTTATAGCAAAGACATTTCAGCTACCAAGCTAGACTTTTTAAAGTGGAAACAAATCATTAAATGTAGTGAGCAAATAACTGATAACGTATTATGGATATGTAATGTAGGGTAAAGGCCACTTTGGTAAACTTTGGTCAGATCATATGTGCAGAGATATGGTAGGTTGAGGGAAAGTCTTGAATTATTTCTGACAGGACTAAAATCTGTCTGAAATGCAAAGGGATTAATGGTGTTCCTTCCAGAATCACACCAAATTATTTTTAAAAAATCATTTAGAAAACATTGATACCTTGTTAACATTGCCTAGGCAAGAGAAGACAAGGCAAAAGCACACAGAATTCCTAGTAAACAATACACAGAAAATTTTAGAGCATTATATTGCAGCAAATACCAAGATTTCTGTGGCTTCCTAAAGAACTTCATCTTTCTTGGGCCTTAAGGATGGGTTATTTTCTTTAGAAAGGACCCTATCATGTTAGTGTAGGGAGCAGGCAGAGGTATTGACCAAGAATATACATCAAATACAAGTCATGATGATGTGTGCCATAACATTACTATGAAAATGGTGTAAGTTATATAATGTGTATCATTTGAACAATGAGATCATGACTTCACTTTTGCCTTTCTCCCAGTGGATGCTGATTCGAAAACTAGTGATCACTATTGTTCTGAAGGCTAGAAAATTGTTTATCCTTCAAAACTATGGCTTTGCTAGTTTTCTGGCCCTCTTTCCAGTAATTGCCACCATTCTAGAGACTAGAGAGATTTGTAAGTTCCAGAACCGTGGCATTTGCTAGTTCTCTAGCCATGGGAAAGTTGGAAGGCTAGCAAACATGATCATTCTTGTGATCATTTGGAAGGCCCCTTCTCCAAAGTGCATGATTTGGAGAGGGAGCCTTCCAAAGATTATGAGAATGGGGCCCGCCTGCAGAATGATGGAGGGTAGTCTCAGTAGGAATGCCGCTCCTTGCATCAACTGGATGTGCCTGAAGCTGCAGAAAAAGGCAAACAAAACTTGAACCCAGGCATGGTGAGGCAGAGAGAGAGCCTGGGTCTCCTGGGCATGGTGGAATGGGCCCTATCGCTGATGCTCTGCTTAATGGTCTGTGCAATTGCTTAATGATCATAACTAGCAGAACCAGGATTGCAATCACTGAGCAAAGTAGTCATGTGAGCATCTCTCTTAATGACCGCTTCACTCAGGATTGCACGAACTGGGATTCTGGTCTCAGTTGTGCTCATAAGTTGATGACTGCCTGTATACAAAACTGCTATTGGTCAGCAGGAAAGAGAATTTCCATCATCTTTTATGTTTCTAAGAAAAGACTACATTCCCAGTAAATTAGGAACAAAGTGTTTCAAAAATATTATATTTTACTGTACATTATCAACATGTGAGAACTACAAAGAAAAATATGATAGAACACTTGGCTATGTGTTCTCACTCAAACACTTTAGACTTTTTAATACTTATACTCACTTGTGTAATATCTCAACTAATGGAGTGTATGCACTTAGCATACACAATCAGTGCCCAAGGTACCAGCATCCATATGGGAACTGCTGTTAAGTCCTATGATGATTGTGGTCTACTCCTAACTAGCAAAATAAACATTTATGATGTGGTATACCCAAACTGACAATTTTTCAAATCAAATGTACTAGCAAGTGTGTCATGTATATAATTATAGCATTAATGTGACCACCCAATTCAGACAGCATGAGTCTGGGTGGTCTATAAAAATCAGCAAACAGCAAATGCAAGAGAAAACAACATATACTACATTTTTCTGAAAATGCTTTCCTTTTTTCGTTTCCCAGCTGCCTTTGTTATTGAAAATAATGATCTTAAAAGAGCAGTATTTGGCACTCTGCTGCATGTTTCCCAGAAGGGGTACATCATAAAAGATTGAAAGTGACCCCCAATTTCTCAGGAATGCCACTTTAAAATTGTATAAATGTAGACATGCTGCCAATCCAGATGCACAGCCAGAACACTTCCTTTACATATGCTACTTATTTTGTTGACATTTATCAACAGTCACTTTATTTTTAAGGATTGCTCCAGAATAGTTTAACCAGAATTTGATAGACTAACATTTTGAATTATTTATTCTCTGAAGAGCGATGGAGAAATCTTATTTTCTGCTAAAAGTCAAGTGAGCAGTAATGAGAACAGTGAAGAATATGACCTGAGAGCATAGTAAAAAAAAGTGAAGTTACAGATGGCATCTTCACAGTGATATACTGCAAGATAATATTTTGCTATTGTCTTTTAAAATACATTTTCATTGCTGTAGGTTTGTTTACTTGCCTTTTCTGTTTTCTTGCCTAACATATGAGCTGAAAGTACAGAACTTCTGAAGGCTTCACGTGGAGCACTACCAGAAAATATTGAAGGGAAGATCTATCTCTTAGGTTCTGACAGCTGTGTCCACTCTGTCCACTGCCAACGTAACTTCAGGTATTGGTTTGCCTCCTTCTTCTATGACACAAAACTTCCTTTGCTTCCCTTTGTGTTTTGATATCTGAAGAATGTTTATAAGAAATACAGAGTCCAAGATAATTCTGCTTTAGCTCCCAGACTTAAAAGAAGTTGCTTAGTTCTACTATCTTTTAAGTGCACCATTAGGCAGTCTTGTTCTCAATAACATATATACCATTTCCTGGCATAAGAATGGGACTGTGGTAGAAAGATTGTTTTTGATAGAGAAGTTTTAAAAATAATTCCATATGAATTTGACACTTTTAAAAAGTGTTTTACTAGACAGCCTGTGACCTATGGGTTATTGTTCCAGATATATTTCTTTACCAGCAGAGAAACAGAATGACCATGAATAAGAGTGACTTTCAATTACTGCTAATTTCCTATTGAGTTTCCTTGTGGGAAGCTGGCAGGGATCATTGGAAACGATGATCATGTGGCTTCGACCATGAAAGTGTGGTGACACTGAAATGGTCACACTTTTGCCAAATTTCAATTCCATGGGAGTAATGAGTCCTGGGTTTTGGATACATTCTTTAAGTTAGTCCTTTTAAAGCACATTGATTAAAAAATGGTTGCCCTATGAGGCACCATTTTGCCCAATTGAAAATTACAAACAGACAAACAGGAGAGTTTTAGTAGTATATACATCTTAAGATTCTCCTCAACCAAATCACTCCAATTATTTTTACGTAGTTTCCAAGCCATTTTAATACTTTAAAATAAGAGCAAATGCTCTTTTCTAATCATAGTCTAGAAAGGTTATTTTGATTTTGAAAGCATCTTCCTTCATCTTAGTCTGGGATCAGAAGAGATTAGGTGAACCCCTTCTCAATGCAGCTCTTCTATGAGCCGTTAAAAGAGCTGGATCATTGATTCTCTTGATTTTCCAACTCCAACCCATTTAACTGAAGAGATAAAAGAGAAATAATTAGAAACTATTGTTCAGTGAATAAATAACATAATGAAATATATTACAGGTAGTCCTTTGTTTAACGACTAGTCATTGGTCATTCAAAGTTACAGTGGACCTTCCCAAAGCTACTTTCAACCCATTTTCAAAGTTTCAATGGCCACGTACATAAACCTCCACAATCACAGGGCTGCATTTTTGGGCACTTGGCAACTGGTTCACATTTATGGCCATTTACAGCATCTCATGGTCATGATTTTTGGTGGGGTTGTGTTTTTTTTTTGCTAGTTTCCGGCTTTTATTTCCAGTTTCTGGCAAAAAAAATGGTCTTTGGGGAAGACTTAATGACCGTGATGCTTGCTTAACAACCATAGCATTCATTCAATGACCACCACAAAATGGTCGTAAAATTGAGCATGGTTATTTGTAACCCGCTTAATGACCACCACAATTTATGATCATGATTCCAGGCACAGTTATAGTCTTAAATTGAGGATTACCCATGTAGGCTATAATCCTAGAGGGTAAATTAAAGAATCCAAATTCAAAAGCAATTAGCTATAAGGTAGCCATGTAATAAAAGTTGTTTGTTATCTGGCAGGAAGCAGCAAAAAAAAAATAGCATTGTTTATATATTATTTTTTTTAAATATGACAATTTTGTTTCACTACTGCTGTTCAAATACTATGGCAAAACACATTATATAATTCTTAGGCAGTGAAGTATTAGCAGCGATATTATTTAATCAGCAAGTCTCTTCTAACAAGTGCCATGAATACTGAGATGAATTAAGTTAAAGTTGAACAGTTATGGATCATATGCAGCTACTAAACACATTTGGAATATCTGCAGAGCAAGAAATCTGCCATATACTAGTTTCACAAAGGCATGACAATGATTCTAATTAATTTTTCTTTCAGCAATAGGACCCCTAATCTACCTCAATTCCCAGAAAACTGCTGCTTTGTCTAATTGGCAAGAACCTTTCTGTGTACAACTTAATAAACATAGCCAACTCTGTTAGAGCGGTAATGATGAAAATACATACCTGACACACCAACATGGTTTTCCACAAATCTAATGTAATTTTGTGCCTTAGGTGGAAGGTCCTCCCATTTTCTGGCACTAGTTGTGTCAGTTTTCCAACCTGGCATTGTTTCATATTCCACTTCCACTTTTTGCAATATTTCCTGATTAGCTTTAAAAGTGAAAAAGCAACTATTCAGGTTATAAGAAACATGTAATCATTATTTAGCATTTACACTTAAAAACATGACAAACCTTTAACCTAATCTTGGAAGCTTTCGCTCCTTTAGTGACCATTGGTCTCAAAAGCTCTTTTTCTTTGCTTTTAGAATAAATCAGATTGTATAGAACAACCAGGTGAGGTCTTTACCGAATAATTGCCCTACTTTATTCACAGCAGTTAGGTGTCATTTTCTTGAGTTCAGAAAGACAGAATAACTGTACAATTTTCTATTTGTATAGAAGTATCTTTAGTGAAATAATGGAGAAAATTATTGGCACTAATAATTTTTACTAATATGAAGTCTGCTTGTAGGCAGGTTCGCAGAAGTGGCAATGTCACTGGTTATATGTAAGTTCTGTAATAGTTAACAGATAAAAGAGAGGGGGAGAAGGCCTGATCCTCTCAGCTCTTATTAACATTACAGAACGTATATATATGATGCACAAAGGTGTCAAAATGCACATGTACAAACCTGTCCTTTGAAAATTGTCAGGTTTCTATGTCACATGTCCTTTTAAATGCGTTTCAGATTATTTTTTTTAAAGGAAAACTGGGATGCTATGAAGTCCAGGAGCAGTTTCTGAATGAGTTCTAAGACTTTCTTGGAAATTAAAAATTTTGAAGGGCTGCAGCCATGTGCTTATTTAGAAGTCTTCTTTATCCTTTCCAAAGGATGCAAATAAATTGGAAGGGAAATGGAAGTGGGGACCAAAATCTTCATCAGTTTTGTGTCCTGGTGTTTTGGGGACTCCTGACCTAATTAAACTTTTCAGCCTAGTTCAAAGTAACATACCTGGGAAGTATGGAATTCTTTTCCCATCTAGCCTGTAGGCCACACCAATTTTGATTTCGTCAAGGACATCCAGAATATCGAGTTTTGTCAATGCCAAACTGCCCAGAAAATATTAGATAGATATTAGTCTCATCCAACATCTCCTTGAATCCCTTCTACCTGTTTTTATGTTTATGGGATATCCCAATAGCATGAATGTTCTGTTCTAAAGTAATCACAGAAAAAAATGTTACAAGGCACATAAAGTTTAAATTAATATACTGTACATGTTAAGAAACATTTTGAAAACTAAGGTATGAATCATACAATAAATTTTAGCTATATACAAATGATGAGAATTTAGGTATGGCACTTAAGAATTAAATCTTCAGTATTTTAAAAACTTGTGCATAATGTGAATGGTTATATTTTTTTCAAGTATGAGCAATCCACAGATATCAAACTTATTTTTTAAGAATTCAGAACCTAAGAGCAACCTAAGAATTAAGAGCAATTTACAGGCCCATTGTAGATATCACTTGGCCTATTTTGACTTCCATTAATTTTAGTTAATGCTAAGAGCCATTCCACATCAGTCAGAATTTGAAATAAATGTTGTGTATCCCCAGTGGTGGGATTTAAATATGTGAACAACCAGGTCTCTGTGTGAATGCCGCTTCTGGAAGTCCATTCTGGGCCTAGGCAACAAAAAATTAGCTACCAGTTCTGCCGAAATGGTGCAAACTGGATGAATCCCACCACTGTGTATCCCTTTCCTGATATATTTTAGATTGCAAGACCAAACAGTAATGCAAAAAATTTATACTCAGGCAGAAATAGCAAGTATGTACCATGTAAATGTCACTTTCTATTTCCTTCTTCTTTCTGTTTTATAGCTCCTAAAATGACTGCTGTTTATTGAACAGTACTATTGACCCAAGAAGTTTAAGCCCACTGAAGAAAAAATTTATTTGGGATAAGGTGCTACCGTGTTTCTTATCATAATATAAAACATAACTTTGCTAAACTAATTATAATGTTACCTACATATTTGTATTCCACCGGGCAAAAAGTTATGAGTTCCAAGTGTAGGTCAAAATCTGTGATGCTTACGCAGTAAATCCGTTGATCATATGAGCGTATCTCAAAATGACAAGATCTAGCCAGCCACAACGTCTTTTCCTGCCTGTAGTCACACCCCATTCATGACCTCGTGACTGTAAAAGGTCTCCAATTTCCTACCAGAGACAAAGATACCCAGGAGATAGGAATAGTGGTCACAGCTAAATGTCAAAAGCCATTAGTAACTGAACTATGTCATGTCAAAAATACATGTGCTTTTTTTTAAAATCATTTAGAAGACAAAGGATGTTCAACATGGCACACCAAGTCAGACAACTTTCCAATTGTCTTTGGAAATTTTCCAAAAGGCTGTTTTTCCCCTTCATTTAGCATTAGTTAGGGTTAGATTCCAGTTCCAAGCTGGTAAATTATGGTTGGTCTTTAGCCCTAAAATCAGACTTAGAAACTTATTCCAAATCATGATTTATGTAGGGTAATAACTGTAGATTATAGCATTTGTAAATGTATATATCAAAGCACTTAATATATGCACGAAAGAAAGGTACATAAGAAAGCAGAAGAGAATGCAAAATCCAATCCTCATTTAATCATTAAAATCATACTTTGGATTTAGAATATTGTGTATTTTTAATTCAATCCTAAATGCAGAATTTGGGCTGCAGTTCTCTATGATGCTCATTTCCCCAATAGATTATTGATTAAATTTGTATCTCACCTATACTCCATGTGACATTGGATTATTTTACCCTATTCTACTACTTTATCCACTATTTCAGTGGCATTTATGAGCTACAGTAAAAAAAAATAATTTTAAACAAATTAAGAACTCCAAATTGAGAGAATCAGGGAGTTTATTCGGGTGCTGACAAAGTTTCTTAAATTAGATTCAGATCAGGATGCCTCTTGTAACAAGACATTTGAAAACATGCTATAGAATGGAGCTGTGATAGTGATGGGGAATCACATTTTAAAGAAAATTAAGACAATTGGGAGAGCAAGTTATACCATCTGCACACATTTTCTATTTTATAATAAAGTTTGAGATTGGCATAACTGTAGCTTGCATATATTAGCACAGGACCATTATAACATCCTAGGGTGAGCAATTAATTTTCCCAAGGGGCCATATGAGAAATGGGATTGTTGTGGAGGCTCAAACCAATAGGCTTCCTGTTGCTCTTTGCTGGAGATCTTGTCGGCCCCATTGTGGTTAGAGTTGAGCTCCTTCTTGGTGACTTTGGCTGCTGGAACCAACATTTTGAGGGAGGTGGAAATGTAGAGCCTCTCCTCATCTCAGACCAGGCTGGCCCAGCTGCCACTCTTCTGCCACCATCGCTGCACTCCTGCTAGATCCTGGCTATGCTCCACCTGCTCGCTCGCAAGGCCTCACTTTCAACAAGGTGGTGGTGGGTGAACGAGCCTGTGTCCTCCTAAATCAGTGGTTCTCAACCTTTTTAATGCCGCGACCCCCAACCGGTCGTAAGTCGAGGACTACTCAACCGGTCGTAAGTCAAGGACTACTCAACTGGTGCAGCACCGTTTGCAGAATGGGACTTTTGGCAGGCTCAGCAGGGCAGAGACAGCCTGGACAATTCCTATTGGCTTTTGAAAGCCAATAGAATTAGACTCTATTCAAGAGAGTCTATTCTATTGGCTTTCAAAAGCCAATAGAATAAAAGGGAGTAGCACAGCTAAGGAAAAGGGGAAAAAATGGCGGACTGCGTTGTTTGGCGACCCCCGTGAAATGGTTGTTCGACCCCAAATGGGGTCCCGACCCACAGGTTGAGAACCACTGCCCTAAATGATGATTGCTGTTGTCTCCTCAGGCTACTCCAGGCAAGGGGTGAGCACTGCACAGATACAGAAAAGCGCTTTCTGTTCTCCCCTTTCCATGCCCATCAGCTGACTGAAGAAGTGCATGGGGACTTCAGAGACAGACTCAGCTTCTCCTGCTCCCTGCGGTGCACTTATTTACATTTTATTTCTAATTTCTGACTGACCTCATAGGGACAACCAAAGGGCCAGATGTGGCCTGGGGGCTGTAAAATGCTCCAGTCTGTATTATCCTATGCTTATTTTAGTTTATTTGTACTATTTTAATTATAATAGCAAACTTACATTTATTTGTTCAGTTGGAAAGGCTCCAATTCCCACTCTTGTTGTGTAGGCTTTTACTACTCCATAAACTTCTCCAATATACTGAGGAGGAATGCCCAACCCCGTGCATACACCACCCACAGTGCAGTTTGATGATGTCACAAAAGGATATGTGCCTAGCAAAAAGCAAAAATTAGATACATTCTGCTTTAAAAAAAAGTGCACTTTATTTCAAACAGCTGTTAAACATATCACTTTCTTAAAGAATTTTAAAGATCAGGGGATCACATGAACATGTGCTGGAGAAATCTGCATAATCCAGAAGGTTTATCAAACACATTATGCTCTTCTATAGTATTAAATATTGTTACATTTAACATCTATTTTCAGGTAATGCTCACTTATCAACCACCCATTCAGCAACTGTTCAGAATTATGTCAGTGCTCAATGAGGACTTACAATTTTTCCTCATACTGGTGGCAATTATACATCCCACAGTCACATGATCACAATCTGGGTGCTTGACAAGCAGCTTGCAGTTGTGATGGTTGCAGCATCACTGCTGACTTCCAACAAGCAAAGGCAATTGGGAAGCCAGAAGGAGGTTGCAAATGGTGATCATGTGACATTGTACTTAACTGTGCGGAATTCACTTAACAACAGCAACCAAAACTGTTGCAACTGCTGTTGTGAGTTGGTGCAGTCATGCTTAGCAACAGAGTTGCCGGTCCTAATTACAGCTGTAAAATGAGGAATAACTATGTGCTTATAAGATGATGGTGTACATTTGGTTGCGGAAGGTAACAAATTAAACAAATGGTCTAATAAGCCGACTGAGAAGAAAGCGCATCTCTACAGCACAAAATTCCTTCTTGGAACTCAGCTCCTAATCTTTACTCACTTGCATTCTAAAAGAGGTAGTATGTTCTCTCACATTGAGACCTAAACAAGATGCACTTTGGGATACTCTGATATGATTGGATCCAAATTAAGTCATAGTTATAATATGCTCACTGAAATCACCATCAATTTCAATTACTCTCTGCATGATTAAGACTCACGATCATGCAAAATATGCACGTTTAAGAGTGTATGAAAGGGTCAAATAACCACCATTTCTCCCAGTGGCCTGTCAGGCTTCAAGAAAGACATGCTTTATTTCTCATCCGTATGCATTATTCTTTCTCATCAATATGCATCTTACTTATTAAATAATAATCTAACCCTTCTCATATCTACATGCATGGACAAAATAATTTATTACACAGATTTCTATCTAGATAGACAACCATACATTGTACAAACTGACATACCAAAATCAATATCAAGCAGTGCTGCATTGGCACCCTCCACCAGAATTTTCTTAGAAGGGCCATGTAGTGCTTCATACATAAAATAAACTCCATCTTGGACCATTGGTCTTATTGTTTCAGCATATCCCTGCAATATTCCATATATATAAAAAGTTACTTTATTTCTCCTATGTTGGCTGAAAGTTAAGAATAGAAGCATATCAGAAACCAAACCAGAAAATCACAATTTCGAGACAATTGAGGTAAAATTATACAGACAGGTTGCTAACTGTGATAGGCTAGCTAGACACTTTAAAAATAAGATTGATTATATTTATCATGACAAGTTTTGAAGTTTTGCCAGTTTAATCTGCAGAAGAATAAATGGCATTATCTTGTCAGATTTTTTGGGATGACTTTGGGCTCTTAAGGATCTGAAGATGGTTCGAAAAGTTGGACCCCTTCAGAGTGGAACAGTTATCTCCCATAACTACAGATAGTCCTGGACTTACAACAGTTCATTGAGTGACTATTCAAAGTTACATCATCACTGAAAAAATAACTTATGACCGTTTTTCACACAACCATTGCAGCATTCCCATGGCCATGTGATCAAAATTCAGATTGTTGGCAACTGTCTCACATTACGACAGTTGGAGTGTCCCGGGATCATGTCATCACATTTTGCTACCTTCTGACAAGCAAAGTCAATGGATAAACCAGATTCATTTAACAACTGTGTTACTAATTTAAAAACTTCAATGATTCTTTTAACAACAGTGGCAAGAAAGGTCATAAAATGAGGTAAAACTCATTTAATAAATTCTTACTTAGCAACCTAAATTTTGGGCTAAATTGTGGTCATAAGTTGAGGACTACCTGTAATTGCATATAGGACAAAAATATTCAGCTGAGTCCAAGAGGTTATAAATTCTTCTTTAGGTGAAGGAGTTTATCCAATCATAATGACATCTCAGAAACTTTCACCATCATTAATTATGACATTCTCCTGGAAAGATAACCTAACCTTTTGGGTTATCTATTCTGTTAAAATCCAAAGTCTCTAGATAGAAATATTAGAGGTTTACCTTTAGTTTTTTTAGTTGCCCATCTATGTCAACTTCTAAAGAAGGAAACATTGACTTGTACTGGTAAGCCAGATTTTTAAATCTGCAAAACATTAACAATTAGCAGCATACACTGTGTACATAGTTATTTTAAACTGTATTTTTCCCTACAAATCACAGGCAAAAAATATCTTGTGGAATATGTATGAAGCCCAGGTTTTATGTTCAAATAACGTAAAACCTGGGCTTCATACATATTTCATGTTCAAACAACATATTTATGTTCAAACAACAGGTTTTTAAGTGTCAAAGTGCTGATACTTTGTTTCTCGAATAAAAGATTATTTAAGGTAAACAATGCCTTGAAGTTATTTTGAAGAGTTTCATCTGTCGGAACCATGACATTAATCAGAATTTATCTTGTTAAAGTGAACCAAAGAAATATTTCTCCAAATCCAGTTCATTTTCAATAATATATGCCCAACTATCTACACAGTTCCCCACAGAGTACACTCACACATACTTTCCCTTCTGTGTCTTAAAAGTATACAAAAAGTTCCCATCCAAAAGGTTCCTTGCTGTGCAGTCGACAAGAATACCTTGATGAAAATTCACTGAAGTCTGAAAGAAGATCGCAAATCCGAAGTCCTGTCCGTGCAGCTTTGGAAGAATAAGTTGGTCCAATTCCTTTTTTTGTTGTGCCAATGCTAGCGACAAAAGACAATTGAATAGAATCAACTGTTGAACTATTCAGTTATTTAGTAATACAAATATTTCAACATGTCTTATAATAAGAATTGTTTAAAATGTATAGACTGGATGTGCATGCATGCAGGCATGCATTAGAAAATTTTTAACTTTTCAGATGCAGGACAGATCCAGGAGACCCTCTTTTTATTATACAGTTTTATTTTCTTTTGAGAAATCAAACTAAACTGGAAAAAAACCCTATTTTTTCATGCTTGAAAAGAAGAAAGTTGTATGGACTGCACAGATCCTCTCACTGAACAATATTATTTTGGAAGTCAAGGGGGATGCCAAAATCCAACACATTGGGGAAGACTGGTATAACTGGAATAACAATACTATCTATGTTCTATCTACTACCGACTTCACCTTCTCTTTAAAAGAAATAAAGTGGCAGTATCTCAGGATCAACCCCAATTTAAGTCAAAGTTCAACTCGCCAATTGAAAAGTAGCAGCAAATAAAGAAGTATCAGGAACAAGGAGAGGGGTGTATAACTATCCCTTTTAAATTAAAAGTACAATTTTGGCACCACATTTTTTAATCTTGGTTTTACTGGTCTTTATTTTTTAAATATGTTGTTTTATTGTTCTATACATTGTTTTATTTTTATATGGTGAGCCCACAGTTTTGCCTTTAAGAAAAATGGTTATACAAATGTTTCAAATACATTACACAAACAGAAATATTTCTCTTCCTTATATTCTCAGGCATTCATATTGTGAAGATTCTCAGGCAAAAGGCAACCCAGGGAAACAACAAATATAACTGAAAAAGTATAATGCCCCCAACCTCAGTTTCTTTGAGGTTACTGAGTGATATATTCTCTTTATAAGGTATTCTTCCTCTTGACTACACATCCTCCAAACTTCAGTCATCCATGTTTGGGAATTTCTAATCATCTCAAAGATTACAATGTCTTTCTTTTAGGGAATCCAGCAGTAGCTATATTACCACACACTGATTAATTGAACTGGACCCGAAAGCTATGCATGTACAAGTACTTTTCCATACTGTACTGCGTGCCAAGATTGCTATGAGGATGCTTCCTTTCATTACTTCACTGCCAGTTTTTTTCAGGGTTGTTCTAAATAGATTAACTGGCTATCATTTTCCAGCTCAGTAACCTATCAAATATAACCTCCAGCACAGAGACATAACTGTGGTCAACTAGAAGGGAAAAAAGCATGTCAGTAACTGTATCATGTTTTCTCAAAACATTGGAAAAGTTTACCAACAATTACTTGAATATGAACAATCTTTTACTCAGAACTGATTTTCCCCTACCATGTGCAGTTCTGACACTATATGGAGATTGATTCCTAGTTACTATATCAGTAAATACAAATGTGACCAGCTTTAATAATAAAAGAGATTTTTCTACTCTATGATCCATTTATGTCACATGTCACCTCATAATCAACCTTAATATCATCTGAGGCTGATTCTGGCAGTTCAAAATACTTTTAAAATCCAAATCCCTAATACAAAGATGCCTTTTTGTTCATTGTTCAGCTTTTATGACCTTACTATAATACTAATTCAGCAGCAGCAGTACTATAACTGAACAAACCTGAAGAGATTCTCACACAGAATCAGGGCAGTAATGCTATATCACTAAATTTGCCTCAGGAAAGATAATATATATGATTCATTGTCTAAATTTTATATTAGTGTGTCCATAGCTTTATCATTCTCACAAAGAGAGAATAGCAAGATTGTGTGCTGTGTCATGAAGAGCTGCCACGTTCTAAATTTCAGATTCTACAACATATGTAGATAGGAAGAAGGCAGCAAGATAAATAAATATGGGCATCAGACGTAAAATGACATTCAAGTCCTTCACTGAATAAAAACCTCACCACCTGATCTGCCTCACCATGCACTTCTTGTAAAGCGTGTTCATTTTCTTCAGAACAGATACTGGCTGTACAGCTTTTATTGGTGCATCCTTTTATATAGGCACAATCCATGTGACATATATGCATGACATATATAGGGATCAGAGTGTTCTTATGCCATTTGTGACTCTTGAAGATTTAAAACTCATTTGTGTATGCATGCTTGTAAGTTGATATTTTAAGCGAGAACAGCCAAAAAAAAGTAACAGAATCATTGCATTTTATATGCTTTCTTTCCAGACTTATGCCACATCTAGTAGCAGAATTCAAGTATACCAAGATATATAATTACTTTTTCCCCTCTTGTGCTTGACGCTGCACTTCTTGAAGTCCATCAACTGCTTGGTGAAAATCAAACACTGCATAGCAGAGAAAAACCCGCATGAAGAAGATTTGAAGAGATAAAACAAATTTGATTTTCAAATATTTCATATAATTATGCTTTTAATGTTCTAACAATGAAGGAATCAAGCTGGTATAATTGTTAGCAGCATTGTACTTCAAAATAAAGAAATTTCCCATGATGCCAAAACAACCTTAATTTTAATTTACCATCTGTTGCATCAAATATATTAAAATAAGAATTACTTGTTCATATTCAAAGATATGAAGATTGCTAAATTACCTTTTTTAATTACAGAAAAGAAATCTATATTTATGGCTAACTGGAAAACTCTTGTAGACTTTTTGCATGAAACAGAAAAAATGCATTTATAACTTGCGGTTTTCATGATTAGAAAAAGGTTGGATAATTGAAAAAGCTTTTTTTGTAATCATAGAATAAGATATAACTTTGCAATCATACTTGTATTTGCTGCAAAGGATTAATAAGCTTCTTTCAATTTCTTTATATATTTTTTTCTGCACTTTATTTCTTTTTTCTTTCTCTTTCTTTGTTCTCTCAGCAGGGTCTGTGTCTCTTTAAGAGCCTTTGTATAAAAGGAAGGCTCCACTAATGTGTTCTCTCTCTTCCATTTCCTGCTGTAACTGTGGTGTGTTGGATCCTGCTGTATTAGCACGTGTATGTATATTGTTCCTGGTGTATGATATTGTGGATAGTGTAAGATAAATCACCATTTAATATAGACCACAGTTTACTGTGTTTACTCCTTGGTTATCTTGCGCAATAAGACTGTGCATACTCTGACAATGTTGTATTAGTTTGTGTTACTCATTAAAACTTTTAATAAGATTTATACAAAAAATGATACAAAAATATGAACTCTTCCCAGTACAAATAAAATTAACAATATGAAAAAGTTGTATGATTTGTTTTTTCTCTCTGAATACTACTTACCAATATGTGCTCTGTCTGATATGATAAGCCTTTTCTCCCAGTCTCTTAATCCTATGAGAAAAAATGACCAGTTAGAAAAATGTGGCTATAGAGCAGGGGCATCAAACTGCCGGCCTGCGGGCTGGATGCATCATGCCAAAACTTTAGCCACCCCAGCTCCAGCAATGGGGAAAAAGTCACAATACGTCACGACACGTCACGTGACGTGGCGAGTTTGACACCCCTGCTATAGAGGATTGAACAATCTAGAGCAGGGGTGTCAAATTCGCAACATCACGTGACATGGCATGACATATCGTGACTTTTTTGCCATTGCTGGGAATGGGGTAGGCATGGTTTTGTTATGATGCATCCAGGCTGCGGGCCGGCAGTTTGACACCCCTGATCTAGAGCAGTCTTTCTCAACTGGCAACCTGAAGATGTATGGACTTCAACTCCCAGAATTCCCCAGCTAGCCCAGCATGCTAGTTACCCAGGATGAAAAACAACTTAGAGCAATAATATTCAGTGTGGCATGCACAGGTCCAATATCACAACTCATAGGGCAGAGCTTGTTTATCACCAGGGATACATTTACAGTCACTAAAAGTGTCTTTCAAGGAAATGTAACTTGCCATCTCTTTATTTTTTTTCCCAGCCTGGACCTCTTGTCTATAATAACTGAGGTAGGTATCCACTTTTTCTGTTTTTCAAACTTTACAATAACCCTTTAAAGGTTTTTTTAAATGTTGAGTGCCATTATTGATAACAAGCCCATCTTTTTGAAGAAAAATATTAGGTACAAACCTTTCTTCTCATTTTTTTCAGCTTCTTCAAATAAGCCAGGTAAATGTATAACCACTCCATTACCTAAAAGGTATACACAAAACATTTGCTGTAAAAGCAAGACATCAAATATCTTCCTTAAAAAGATAAGCATTAAGCAAACACAGCTATTCTTATGTCAGAAGAATGTATAGCAGATTGAGGGTTTTTTAAAGCTTTTCTAATTAAAGTTTTAATTGGGGTAATTAGAGTTAGGATCTCTTCCATATTATAAGGTTGCACTTTGTTGTGTGTCTCTGCCTTCTCTAAGGAAGAGTTACAGAGATTAATGGCAAAACTTTTTTTTCTGTTTCTCAGACAATCTGGCAGCTGGCATTTATCTAGTTGGAAGACTTTGATTTATTTTTTGGCATAGTCTGCCATCCTCATTGGATACCCTCTGCATTGTTTGAGTGGCTGTCCACCAGTTCCATTCAACATTTTCTGGTCTTCAATGCACTTCTACAAATTGCTTTGTGGACATTGAACCTTTGGAACTGATGAGCTTTCAGCAGTATTAATACTAACCAGGCTATTTTAGGCTTACCAGCCAACTTTTCTCTGTCCCACAACTAACAGTCCATCTTCAACAGCCATTTATTGTCTACTCCAATTTAATCCAAATCTCTATTCCTCTAGATTTTTTTCTGATGTTTTCTAAGATTTTCCTCTGCAAGCTGGCTTAATCTAGTATTTCCCCCTTTGTATGGTATGTGGGAAAGACCTTGGGAGCCTGGATCAAGGTAAGTTGCCAAAGGAATGGACAGATAAGAGATAGCATAACCCGCAACTGGATAGTGGGCAGGACAAGAGGCTCAGAAGGGATCCTCCCTAATTTCTTGGGCTATAAAGGAGATGTGGCGAGACATATACTTTCAGACTTGCATGATACTATCAATGTAGTTTTACAATAAAGTAGAATTAGCTCATCCTGTTGCAATTTCTATCTTGTTTTCCCCACAAGACTAACATCAGTTTTGTAACTCTCAAAGTGAGACTTTGCAAAGGCTCAAACCACTTGCATGCTGTGCTGTATCTTACGCGACCATTTCCTTGGCAATATTTCTTGACCCAATCTCCAAACATCTTTCCCAGATACCATCATTCCTTCTCTGCTATGACAGAAAGATTCCTATGGGAATCTAAACTAAACTTTCAGCTTCTTGAGATCAGCAAAGAGTACCATTTGCCTCCCCGCCCCCAATGTTTGTTTAGGTTACAGCATGGAAATCTGAGTATAAGCCAGAAATGAGATGTAACACTGCACGTGCATCACAGTTTTTCATCTTCACATCATGTCTCGTCTGCTCCAAACATAAGACCATATCTAGCATGTGCCCATTCATGGATACTGCAGCCAAGATTACATGGGACAGGTCCATGATTGCCAGGGAGCCTGTAAATTTATAAGCTCTATAAATTCCTCTTTCAGGACAAGGAGACTGAAGTCCTCCTAGATTATCAATATTAGGAGTTGAGATGACATCCAGAAACTCATGCAGGTTGCTGCTGGATTCTAGTTAGTTTGTATACCAATACTAACACAGTTTATCTCTGTGGCCCAATTCCACATATAAGCATTTGTAGCCAACCACCTTCAAGGCAGTTCTCTTTGGTACTGTATTGAGAAAATCTCTGTACTATCACAGCCATTCCTTCTGCCTGACCAATGTGTTGCAGGACCTGAAACTTAGCTCAGAATATTTTTGATACATATGTTGTACATAGTATGTTTAGGTGTGGGTCATGTATGTGTTTCACTTTGAGAGTGGGCAACTAAATTTCATTTTTGATGTGTGCCATTGTGCCCACAGTAAAAAAATGACAATAAAGGTTATCTTATCTTATTCTGTCATTGCCCAATTCGGTCTTAGCAAATATATTCATCCACCACAATATTATAGATGGACAAAATCTTATTCTACACTGACTTGGCATTTACCAGTAGCAGCTAGAGGCCAATGCACCTAATAGTGCCATCACTTGGGTCCAGATCTAGCTTAGAAAAGGCCACTTCTCCTGTAATGGCAAAATGTAACTAAATATGAATGAAAAATAGACATAAAGTGTGATTTTTAATAGCTGTTCTACGTTCTTCTGAACATTAAAAAATTTCAGTCACTTGTGCTGAATCTTAACTATTTCTTCATTTCTTTGTACTGAAAAGGTACAGATAAAAGGTCAGAGTTTCCTCAAAATCTGAAAATGAAATAAAAATGTAGAAGTTATTTTAATTTAAAATTCAGTCAGACTTATTCCTTCATACTGAAAAGGATAAGACATAAATGTTGCTGAAGTAAAGAATAAATTTGCATTTGGATCTTATGAATCTGAATGGAATACTTACCAATAAAAGAAACAGCCTTAGAATTAATTATACCACTAGGAAAGAGATGAAAATCGTATTCCTTCCCATCAACAACGACAGTATGACCTGCATTATTTCCACCCTGCCAAAAATAAAATAAGATATTTAGTAATTTTTCATTTATTACTACTGGTGAAGAACATATCTACTGCCAGCAAGACAGAAATTTGTTATGGTACTGTAGCAGAGATAAATATTATGTCCTTAGGCTGCTTGTCTACTTTTCCTCCAATCATCATTTAAACATCACCCAGGTTTCTTGAATAATATGAAGATATATGGATAGTAATAAGGTGGAAATAGTTCCAGACAGAAAAGAGACTGTACAACTAGCTTCCCGCTTGTCCTATAAATTGAAACCAACTAGCTGATGGGCATCCAGGTCTGTAACTTGTGGCCCAAGTTTATTTTTAACTTTTATTTATTTATATACCACTGTTATTATTTTTATAAATAACTCAAGGTGGAGAACATATCTAATACTCTCCTCTCCTCCTATTATCCCTGCAACAACAACCCTATGAGGTAGGTTGGGCTGAGTGAGAGTAACTGGCCCAAAGGCAACCATCCAGTTTTCATGCCTAAAGCATCAAACTCTCAAACTCCTGGTTTCTAGCGTGGTATCTTTACTGCTAGACCAAACTCGCTCTTTTATATTTTTCTATTATAGTGATTGAAACTGACAGTTGGGGAAATCACCTCTTATTTTTTGAATACTGCAAAGAGGATGGCTAGTGGAGGCTGACCTATGACTATACTTTAGAATTTATTCATCCTAAATGAAACTCAAATTAATATGGTAATAAAGCAGTAATGTCCCCAAACACATCTTTGATCACACTCACAAGAAGTTAGCTTATTTCAGCTTCAAGATTAGGTGCAACACAGCATTATAGATTTTACCACCCTGAAGCTGTGGTACCACAATGATGACTTAAGCAGGAGTAAGCAACCTTGACTCTTTTATGACTTGTGGACTTCAACTCCCAGAATTCCTGAGCCATTCTGGGAGTTGAAGTCCACGAGTTATAAAAGAGCCAAGGTTGCCTACTCCTGACTTAAGGAAGAAAGTAGCATTTAAAAACAGGGCACCTCGTGATAATTTAAGGTATTTCATCCAAGGGCTGGGACAAAATGAGGGTAGCACTGTATCATGGAAAGACTGGCATTACCAGGGCATAACTGTGTCCTGATAAACTTCAGATCAGGCCATGGCCTTATAGTGTTACCATTAACCTTTTGAGAGAGAAGCAATTTCCCATTAAATATTTATTTTAACATTTTATTTAAGCGAGGTGTAATGCACTTAAATGAAAACACATTTAACTGAGGTCCATAGTGACTACTTTTCATCAAAAGGCTTGAAAGAACTTGCCTGTAAGACCTGCCAGCTCAAAACAATAATGTCAATGTTAAACTTAAATGGTTAAAACCTGCAAAACCGCCTAGACCTGAACTTAACTGTGGCTAGTTTTAAATCAACCAACAAATGGCCAGGGGATTTGTTCACTGTTACACAGATCGATTTCATAAGTTGGGCCTTCTGTGTCTTCTATATCTACATGTCAGATCAAAAGACTATACTGATAATACACTCAGGATTTACTTAAAAGCTTTCTTATTAGTTTTCTTTCCCATAATTTCGTATCAGCTACAGGATGGTACAACACAAGGGCTAAAAGACATTAATAAAACTGCTGCGAAAAGCTTCCATTTCCTTTTCTGACGTTATAGCAATATTAACACCACTCTGCTGACTTCTACTTTCTTAGAGAACTAAATAGCTGAAGTAATTACATTTTGCTATTAATTTATCTGCAATCATAGAAAACAAGGAAAAGGATAAAACAAACGTCATTTGTTCTTAGTTTGACTGCTTCACCTGTTACACAGAACAACAGAATTAGATTTTATTTATTTATTTATTTAACCCATAGCTGAGCTTGCAGTACAAAAAAAGAGACAACCTTGTTTTCTGACAGGGGTTTGGTAACTTTAAACTTGACCTTTTCATGGAATACTGATGATCCTGCTGCAATTTCATAAATACCCAAGGAGAAAACCAAGTTTAAAATAGCAATGTCACCATTTTTTTTCCTCTTAGAGCAAGCAGGTGCTTAACAGATGCTAGGTCCATACGTTTCTATTTTGTATCAGTTTACTTGGCTTTTAAAAATAAGTCATCTTATTCACCTTTATCGTTGTAATCCTAGTCCCCATGGGCAATACTTCATGGTACATGTGCAATTATGGCAGCATGTGGCACGTTTGCACAAAATATTTATGTATTTGATTTGTGTCCCATCTGTATTACTGTTTATAAAAAACTAGCTATCTTGCTGGTCATGGTTAGGCACAATACACAAGGTCCAATCAGAAGTTGTGACTTTGTTCAAAGCCTTTACATCTCAGGATGTTCTCTATTATTCCAATTTATCTTTGAATGTTTTTCTGGTGAAATGCACAATTTTCAAATAAAGGACTAGGGTATGAGTTTCCATTACTTTTCAGATTCCAGCTTTCTCTGCTTCTGCCCCTGCTCTCTGGAACAGCACCCTGTCAGCAGTACAGATGGTGTCCATTCTCTTGGGGTCCTGAAAAATGCTTAAAACTTGGCTCTGTTCCCAAGTCTGGGGTTAATGTATTTGGGGGTGGGGGAGACTGCTGTGACATGGTTTACTGTGGCCGTTTTTAATCCAAGCTGTCTTGTTTTGTCTGTTTTTGTTTTAACTCTGCATTAGATTTTATAAACTGTCCAGGGTCTATTGGACTTGATGGCAATGAAATAAATTTCTAGTCAGTCATAAAATTCACTGAGTGACAAGGGCCAATTGTTATTTGTCACTATGCCTGAGGACTAGAAAGAATCAACATGTGACTAACATGAGAAGAAACCTCTGAAACTTTGAAGTAAAGGCAGGTCATAAATAACAACAACAACAATACTACTACTACTATTAATAATAATAATATTGGAAGGGACCTTCGAGGTCATCTAGTCCAGTGGTTCTTAACCTGGGCAATACTGCCCCCCAGGGGTGATTTTGTTTTTCAGGGGGGTGATGGAATGAAAAGGGGTGACGCGGGGGCGAAGGAACGAAAAGGGGACAATATGGGGGCGATGGAGCAAGAAGTTTTGGGGACACTTTTGAGACTTTTTTGTACAGTGAATCACTGTATATCTGTCATGCAAAAATATCAGATCACTCACTATTGGTGGATTGAATTGTGTTTTCAAATGTTCCTCCAACTAGCTTCAGTACAGAATGCTGTACATATGTGAATATGCATCACTTATCTTCATGCGTGTTGCGCAGCAGCCTCTATACCCATACAGTGGCGCTCCATTGGCCAGAATGGACAGTGATGGAGGGGGGAGCGCTTCTTTCGAAACATTGCATGCTGAGTGGCTGTCCCCTGTGATGTCAGCTGTAATGTCAACGTAACTGTTGAAACTAGGTTTATTGACGTTCACGTGTGTTTTTCTAGTGTTCCAGTGGAGTCAAAAATTTAATTTGCAGGTAGTGCCTTTCATTTTGAAAACCTCTCAACATGGCCGAAAAGAGGAAGTGTCACCAATATTTGACGGAATACCTAAAACTGGGATTCATTCCATCTCCTTCCAACGTATAGCTTCCGTTTTGTCTTCTTTGTGAGAAAACATTTTCAAATGAAGCGATGAAGCCTTCCCGACTGAAAGACCATTTGGTAAGAATTCATTTGGATAAAGCCGACAAACAGGCATCGTTTTTCCAATCCTTAAAAGCCAAGTTTGAGGGTCGCAGCACTGTTAGGAAGTTATTTGGAAAATTGTCACTCAACGCCAACAAGGGGCTCATTTGTTCCTATGAAGTATCTTTGTTAATAGCAAAATGTGGCAAACCTCCCACTATCAGAGAAATGCTGATTTTACTAGCAGTGAAACAGATTGTTGCCACCATGTTAGGGCCCAGCGCAAGCACTACCACACAATCGATTCCTTTGAGCAATGACACCGTATCAAAAAGAATTGATGAAATGGCTGCTGATGTGGAAGAAAGGCTTATTGACACCTTGAAAAATACAGAATTCATGATGCAGATTGACGAGTCAACGATTTGTGAAAATGAAGCCTTGTTATTGACTTATGTCCGTTTCATCTTAGTTCCTGCATTGCGGTTTGTTCTTATGCCCTTTTTATATTTCTTTTTGCATCTTAAATTTCACTTGTAATTCAAACATTAAATATTACTGTTTTTCTTTTCGGGCATTTCACTTTCTTGCAATTGAATTTTGTTTTCAGTGGTCATTACATTTAAGTGTCTTGAATAAATAAGATACATGTATCACGAAGTTTGGGAATAAAGTGATGGGTGGCACCAAAATTTTTCACGCAGTTGAGATTGCATCGATATGTCCTGATGACGATTTTAAAGAAAACAAAAAAAGTGTTTGCATAAATTGAAAAATTATTTCCTATGTTGTGATTGAGAGGTTATGTTTGGGGAGGGGGGCGATGACAACTTCCTTGTTGGCTCAAGGGGGCGATTCGTTCAAAAGGGTTAAGAACCACTGATCTAGTCCAACCCCCTGCTCGGGCAGGTAACCCTATACCATTTCGGACAAATGGCTGTCCGGTCTCTTCTTAAAAACTTCCAGTGTTGGAGCATTCACTACTTCTGGAGGCACGTTGTTCCACAGGTTAATTGTTCTAACTATCAGGAAGTTTCTCCTTAGTTGCTTCTTTCCTTGATTAGTTTCCATCCGTTGCTTCTTGTTGTGCTTTCAGGTGCTTTGGAAAATAGCTTTACTCCCTCTTCTTTGTGGCAGCCCCTGAGATATTGGAACACTGCTATCATGTCCCCCCTTGTCCTTCTCTTCGTTAAACTAGACATACCCAATTCCAGCAAATGTTCCTTATATGTTTTAGCCTCCAGTCCCCTAAAACATGTTTAAATATAGTTGTATGTTATTCAAAGTATTTATTCATTCTAGTTTTACTAACAAAATTAAGGTTTCTATATCCAAAGATAAAAGAAATAGGTTGAAACATATGATTTTTAAATCACAGTCATCATTACTACTTCATACCTGCTCCCATGCTGCCATGGTCCCATGCTGCCATGCTAGGTTAATAATCTGCATTTAAAGCAGCATATTTTTAACAGAATGTTAGCCAGAGTTATCTTTCTGATTTCCTGCTTGGCAAAGACTTCTATTTTTCAAAAGAATCACTTTTGCACCCTTGACTTAAAGCAATTAAAAGTGAATTCCAAGCCCAATATTGTATCATAAATTTTATAAATATAAATTTCCTTCTTGCTGAAAATTTTAAGGAGACAACCAACAACCCTCTGCTCCCCCCAAATTCCATACTTGCTCATTACAGTTTCAATCCCACCTATTTTGCCACATCACCAGCTCTCAGCTCCCCCTCAAAAAAAAAGTATGGTTCTTAATACTCAAAGTCCCCCATCCCTTTTTTTAAGAGCAGCTGTTTAAAAACACAGATCAAGAACAGATTGCACATGAAATGCATTGTGCATGACACTTAGTGGCTTATACAGATGAGTCATGGTTTCTTTGTCTTGTCAAGAATAAAAATGTGGTTGTCATTGCATTCTGCTGGGACAGTTTCTACTTCCTGGTCTATCCTACAGCCCTGATGTTTCATGTCTGTCTTTGATCCAAGTACTAACCAGGGCTGACCCTGCTTAGCTTTTGAGATCACCCAAGTTACTAGGTGCTCTCTTCTTTGTTACTACAATCTCATAATGTTGCCCTGGAAGATGCTGTGTATGCTAACTTTTCTTTACAAATACAGAATTGCTGGCAATTTTCATGGCAGCCAAAGCACCGAAGAAAATGTTCAACTACTTTCCTCATATACTGTTTTACAACTCCATCACCACATGGTAGCTTCACATTCTGAACCAATCTCTAGAATATAAATAGATATTTCATGTATCTAATTTGAATCAAAGAAAATAATAGGAAAGCTTTTTTCAGCTTTAGGCATATTGTAGGGTATGTTGCTAGGCGGTCGGTGAAAGACTGAACTAGATTATTCATACAGTTCTTTAGAATAACTCCAGTACAAGTGCTTTAGATTTTAAAAAACATTAAAATAAATTTAACTTGTTTATGAGAAGCTGCAATTGATTTAAAGCAGAATGAGGACAAAACTAGATGAAATGTAGTCATGTTTATTATTCAAACTCCTGCCATATGCGTGCATTACACACCTACACATACATACAGTATACACTCTGTCAGCTTTGGTACTTTGCACTCTTTGCTTTAGTAATAGTGAAAAATGATCATGCAAGAAACTATGAAATAAAATATGTGGGTTCAGTTCTTTATCTTTAATCTTTCTTTCACAATGATTCCAAACTGCTCAGGGCAATATACACTCATTTTCACAACAACTCTATGAGGCAGACTATACCAAGCTTGGATTCACACATTATGTTAAGTCACATTTTGTTCAACCACAAAAGAATATGTTCATACACGGTCTTGCCACAAGCTACTGCTTAGAAATTACACCAAGCTGCAGTGGAATATATTTGGTTTGGTTTAGCCCATTGTATGAAGCCAGCCTGAGAAACGATCTGGGTCAAGTTCCTCTGGGGCTGCAGGACAAATTGAAACAGCATCCCTCTGGGGCTACGCTTATATAATCCTTAAGATCCAAGGGCTCAGAGACACATACTTCCCACTCACAAAGTTGATCAAGTGATCAAAGTTGACTTCAAATAATGTACCATAGCACAGGAGCATGAAGCCAATGAGTCCAAAGCAACCCCTAATAAATCTCCACTATGCTCCTCTGCTTAACTTCAACCTTTCTTGCAGACAGCCGTCACCAGACACCCCGGCATATGCACCATTCTCCAGACGCACACAGTTTTGATAGGTTCATCATGCTTGTCTGTACTTCCAGATCTTATGTCATTTGTCACCAAGGCTCAGCTATTTCTATTTATACCCAGAACTGTTTTCCCTCTCCACTTCCCAGATGGCATTTAGTCTGTAGCCAGTCTTAAAAAGCCTCCCTCCTTTTCTATTGCAGCTTCATTCTAGACATGGGTAAGAAAGACATGCATCAGAAGCAAAAGACAAAACAAAAAAGGAAGTAAATGACAAAAACAAAAATAGGTGAACTTAGTTCAAAATATGGGAGTGCATTATGTGCAGAGGTAGCCTTAGACTAATCATACATTTTCAGACTAGCCCACTTCACAAGGCTGTTCTGAAGCTTACAAGAAAGGCCAAAAGAAATATCAGTTGCAGAGAAATGGCAAGACTCCAAGGTAAATAATAATAATAATAATGAAGTAAATATTGAACAAAACTAGCAGTTGAGCCAGGATAGAACAAAACAGACAATTAATACTACCTAATGATGGTGGGGGGGAATTACCAGAAAGTTTAAGAAAACATACATTATGCCCACCAACCAGGCAATCCATTTCTCTCTCTTGTACAGTTACAGCTCATAACTGGATAATTTAGCTGGAAACGATGGGCTACGTGATCCAATATCCTGAAGAGCAGAACAATGTGGAAGGATGCACTAACAATGTGGAGGAAATTTTAAAAGTAAAATGGAAGGACTTTTGAAATAAAACAAGAAGAATCAAAAATGTGTAGTTACCAATATTTCAATATTCCCTTGTTTCTTTATTTTTCATTGCACCTTAATCCACCTCAGTGTTCAAACATCCCAGGGAACGTTTCACCTGCACAAGTGAACGATCGCATCCTAAAAGCCACAACAGCAAAAACGAGCGGGGAAATTGGCTCCAGTGTAGCGGAATATGAGATGGGTCGGGGTGCTGCCGTTTCTGTCCCAGGGCAGCCCTTACTCACCTGGCACCTACAGACGAGGTCGGCCTCGGTGGCCAGGAGATCCACCACTTTGCCTTTCCCTTCGTCGCCCCACTGAGCACCCAGCACTACCGTCACACGGTTGCCGCCCGGCTCGCTTCGCAGCCGCTTCAAACCGACGCCGATAGCAGCGCCGGCGGCAGGGCGAGAGGCACGATCGTTGGAAGCAGCAGCGGCGGCGGCAGCCGCCGCTACAGCCGACCGGGTGCCAGACATCACAGCGAACAAGTTTCCGCTACGAGACAGTTCCAAGCAACCGCTCGCGCGCTCCCCAGCTCGCTCTTCACCTTTTAAGGACAGTGAGAGCCAACCAGAGCGCACTCAGCGCTTTGACGTGAGCTGGGCGGGACTGAACTCGCCCTTGCCCTCGCCCTCGCCCTCGCTCGTGTGTCGCGGAGGTGAATTGAGAGAAGGAAAGGGGTGGTTTGAAATGCTAGAAATTGAATTGAAATGATGGGAAGAGGGTATCCGCCGGAAAAGCGTGGGGGCCGCAGGCCTCGTGAGGGGCAACCTATTCAACCTGTGGCTGCATAAGGATGCATTGCTGTAGCCTAATAAAGGTGAAAAATTTACAAGAAGTATTGTATTAACAACGGCATACATGCATTGAGGAGCGTAAATAGTGCAGTGAGGGTCACTATTTTTTTTTAAATAAATCACGCTTTGAATTTTATCTCAGGCATACAAACCGTTGCCTTTTGCGTGGGCTTGAATCGTGACTGTTAGGATAAAAACTGGTACCCGGAGATTGGTGAGTATGTTACACACAGACACACACAATATATACCGGTACGCACGCACACATAGAGAGCGCTCATCAGGCTAGGGATTGGGATAATGAAAATGAAGAACTTCTTAGGGATTTTTAAAGCTTTCAGAATGTTCATTAGAAAAAAATGGTTGCAAATGTTAAAATACAATTCTAAGGGAGTCAACATGCTGCACCTGAGGGAGAAGCTTTACATGGCAGCCACATGGGGGACAAGTATGGGGGACATGTGCATCATTTGATGATGCTTGTGATGTCCTCGTGGGTTGTCTGGATACCTATTGCTCTGGGTTGGAGGAAGCAACTTTAACAACTTCTCATCCACATGGCCGAGCAACTTACTGTACAGCTTGCTGATACCGTTGTTGGCTGTGTTTGCATGACACCCTAAACTATAAACTATGTTCCATCTTCTCACATTGCATGAACTCAGTCCCAGGTCATCCTCAGGAAAAAAATGTAAAAGGCCAAGATGGTGTCTACAGTCATGTAACACATATTTAAAAGGGTGGATGGCTTCAATCACATGGTCACAGCTGCTTTCTTGACTTTTTTTAGACTTTTCCTTCACAGGTGCCCTGCTTAGTCCAATTCCTTATGATTTAGAATATCATATGTAATCCCAGGGAATAGCTGTCTTCTTGTGCAGATTCCCCAAACTAAATTAATTGAAAGCCATCAAGAATAGGTAAGTATATGAGTGTCATGGGAACATATTTATTGACTTCTGTAAGGGGATCCCAAGTACCACTGCTGCAGACACAGTATAGAGGAATAAAGGTACAACGTTTCAAGACCAACAAGACAAGGCCGGTAGTGGATAGTCTGCCAGAGATGTTACAGAAAAATTCCTTACCAAGAACCATGCTACCAAAAGCTGCTTAAAGCTGAAATTCATAAACATCTGAAAAACCACTGAGTCTTCATCCTATCATGGTGACACCACCTAACTGCTGACTCATTCCTGAAAATCCAACAATCATTTCTTCAAAAACAGCATTTTAAAAAAAAATCGTAGATATAATACTAGATTTTTAAATTGTTTGTATTATCTGATGGGCTTCACTTATTTATAATGCAATCCTTTCAGATGTGAATGGATGTACAGTATAAGTAGTCCTCCTAGAAAAGAAGCAGTGTTACAATGACACCTGTAAAGACATTGAAGGTGAAAACAGAAATGGAAAAACAAGGAATGTCTTCCAAAAGATCTCCAAACTCAGAGAGAGGTTCTCATCTTGAATTGGTATGCTGAAGGGTATCAGTTGTCAGATAGAAACTGATTTAGAGAAGATGAAAGAAAAGTGGAATGGAGATACTGAAATTCCGTTCAGGGGTGATGTCAACATCCAAAATACCTTTAAACCTATTCTTTATTTGCAAGAACCTTTGAAGTTACTTTTTACTTACAAAAACTTCTAGTACTAGAAGATGAAGTCAGACTGGCCAACAGATTGGAAGATGTGTGTCTATATATCGATATTAAAGAAAGGACATTTAACATATTAAATAAGAACCAGTTTGACGTAGTGGTTAAGGCATCAGGCTAGAAGCTGGTGGCCAGTGAGTTCTAGTCCTACTTTAGGCACAAAGCTAACTGGGTCACTTTGGGCCAGTGATTCTCTTTCAGCCCTAAAAAAGAGGCAGTGACAAACCACTTCTGAAAAACCTTGACAAAAAAACTACAGAAGCTAGTGCAGGCCATTTCCAGGTCAAAAATGACTTGAAGGCATGTGCACATGTGTGTGTATATACATATACATATATATATATATATATATATATATATATATATATATATATATATATATATATATGTAGGTCTTTGGTTGTTCGGGTTTTCTCCCACGTAAAATTGGAAGTGTCTTGGCGACGTTTCGACGAAGTCCCATTCGTCATCTTCAGGCTGGTGCTTTCAGCTTCGTGCCTCGAGCAGCAATGTGTGGTCTTAGCTGTTTCTTCCTTTTAACTGCCAGTGGGGGTATGAACTGATTGGGTGGGAGCTTGGCTGTGTTCTGATTGGGTGGAGGTGTGTTCTGATTGGTTAGGGGCGTGGCTGTGCTCTGATTGGCTGGGGGGTTGGCTGTGCTCTGATTGGCTGGGGGGTTGGCTGTGCTCTGATTGGCTGGGGGAGTGTTCTGTTTGGTTGTGCTCAGGTTAGTCTGAGTTGCAGAGGGATTCAAGATTTTGGGCTGCCCTGCCATTCCTTGGCTTCGCGTTCGTGGTCGTGCTTCCTCTTCATGGAGGGTGTCAGTTTGCTTCATGTATGGATTGGGGGGGTTTAAAGTGGCTAATGATGCAGCTGTGGTCTGGCTTCTGGTTTGTGGTCGTGCCTCATAGTCAGTGTGGCTTTGGGTTTGTTTTTTGCGTGGATGTTGGTGGTGACCTCCTGTGTGGTTTTTGTGAGTGTGGGTCTGGTATCATTTTTTGTGTTAGGGAGTCGTTTGTCAATAAGGGCGGGTTTCCAAATGGCTGGTAGGCGGGAGGTATCATCTCGCTTGTTCATGCTGTGTGGGCGTTTTTCTATCTCGATGGCTTCTCTGATTATTCTGTTATTAAAATGTTCACTTTTGGCAATGGTTCTGGTATTTTTTCAAAGGTGTGGACCATGTTGGTTCCTCTTTTTTGACTGAGTTCTTATGTTCTTCAATGCGTGCACTTATTCTTCTGTTGGTTTGTCCGATGTATGTGGTGGGACAAGTGGTGCATGGGATTTCGTATACTCCTTGATTTTCTAATTCAATTTTATCTTTGGGGTTTCTAAGGATGGTGGATATTTTTCTGTTTGTGCAGAATGCTGTTTTGATGTTGTGTTTATGGAGGATCTTACTGATTCTGTCTGTGGTGCCTTTTATGTATGGGAGGAGGGCTTTGCCGTTTTCTTGTTCTTTGTCTTGGATTTTAGTGGGGGTTTCTTTTTGGATTAGGTTTGTAATCTTATTTCTATGGAATCCATTGGATGTTAGTACATTGGTGAGAGTGTGTAGTTCGGGTTTTAGGTGTTGTTCGTCAGCTAAGCGTTTTGTTCTGGAGATGAGTGTCTTGGCTACAGAGTTGATCTGTGCTGGGTGGTGGTGTGAGAGAGCGTGCAGATAGCGGTTTGTGTGTGTTTTCTTCTGGTAGATGGTGTGTCCTAGGGAGCCATTGGATTTCTTGTAGACTAAGACATCCAGGAAGGGAAGTTGGTTGTTAGTTTCTGTTTCCATGGTGAACTGTATTTTGGGGTGTAGGCTGTTGAGGTGTGTGAGGAAGTTGTCCAGTTTTTCTTTCCCATGTGGCCAGATTATGAAGGTGTCGTCTACGTATCTGAGCCAGAGTTTGGGTTTGTGATCAGATTTTTCTAGAGCTTGGGTTTCAAAGTGTTCCATGTAGAGGTTGGCAATGACAGGTGAGAGGGGTGATCCCATGGGTGCTCCTTCTGTTTGTTTGTATTTTTGTCCATTATAGATGAAGTATGTGTTGGATAGGCAGTGGTTGGTCAGATCTAAGATGTGTTTGGGGGGGTTATATTTGTTTTGGATAGCTGTCAAGGCTTCTTTGATAGGCACTTGTGTGAAGAGGGATATGACATCGAAGCTCACTAGTAGGTCGCTGGGCTGTAAGTTTTGTTTCTTTATGATCTCTATAAACTGGAATGAGTTTTTTACGTGTGAGGTAATGGATTCTGCATAGGGCTGTAGTTGTTTGGCGAGAAATTTGGCTAGGTTTTGTAGAGGTGAGCCTATGGAGCTGACTATAGGTCTGAGTGGGGTTCCTTCCTTGTGTATCTTGGGGAGACCATAGAGTTTGGGGCATCTGGATGATTTCTCTCTGGGAATGATTCTTTGCTGGATCTCTTCGCTAATGGGGGAGGCTTTTATTTTGGATCTGGTGGTTTTTTCCAGGTAGGTGGTGGGATCTGTATTTAGGGGTTTGTATGTGGAGTCTTGGAGTAGGTTGGTTAATTTGGTTTGGTAGTCAGATGTGTTCATAACCACCGTGGCGTTGCCCTTGTCTGCTGGTAGGATTATTATGCTGGTGTCTTCTTTAAGGATACGTAGTGCTGTCTGTTCCTCTTTGGGTAAGTTGCTTTTGGGTGGCTTGCTGGTGCAGAGGATGTTGGTGATTTCGAGTCTGATTCTGTTGGCGTCGTCGGGGTTGATTTTAGTCAGGCTGGTTTCAACTCCACATATAATGGTTTCAGTGGGGATGTGTTTGGGAGCGACTGCAAAGTTGAATCCTTTGGAAAGGACATTGGTTTCGGCTTTGGTGAGGATCCTATCTGAGATGTTATGCACTGTCTGCTTCATGTGTGGCTGTGAGGGAGGAGGGGTTTGTTTCTGGCGTTCTTGTAGTCTTCGGAGTTTGTTGGTGTGTGTATCTGTCTTGAGGGTGGTCTGTGTTTCGGCTCTCCAGACGGCAAGTTGTTTGGATTTGTCCCAAAGTGCGGGGTGGATCTTGTTGCTGAGTTTGAGGTGGAGTGTGAGGAGATCTTTGTTAATTCGGT